ATATGATTTTAAAATTATATATGGATAGAGAGTGGATATACTCAATCCGATAAATAATTTTAAAATCACATATATAAAATATATTGTTCTTCTTTGAACTTTTTGTAATGAGATTATTCTGTTGCTGGTTATGAATCATTTAGTAATCTTTCATTATACGTATATATTTTTTTTGGAAAGGATGGTTGCAAATTAGTTGTTAATATGCGACCACTACGAGAATATCACCGGTTCTTAGCCTCTAAATTGTTAGTCTTTAAAACGTCCCAAATATAAGACCAAAGAAGTAGTCACAATTTAGTCTCCACCGTTCGAGGATACAAATCAGTCATAGAGTAGTCGCAAACTTGCTATAGTCACTAATTAGTCTTTATTATACGACTAACACTATTAGTTTCGTTTATATACGACGGAAACTAACAGTCACAGTTTAGTCCTTAATGCCCGACTATTTTGCGACTGTTTGAATTAGCCACCAAATTTTACTAACTACTTTCTTTAGTCACTAATCAATCGCTAATATCGTTTTTGCGACCGTTTTAGGACGCTTTAGGGAGTCACTCATGCCTTGTTTTTTTTGTGGTGATTGGAAATTCATCAAGAATGTAGCACGCGTACCTACTTTACTTAGGACACTTTAAAAAGATTCATGCTTCGAAAACATACTCCCAAGTAGAATTAAACTCTCATTTCTGTAAAACTATTATGAAAAAGAAAATAAGTACTCATTAAATCTCTTGTTTCAACCTAACCCCTTTCAACATATATGATGTGGTGATTTCTGCTTACAAACTAGACTAATTAGCGCAATTTGTAACGGTGGAACTCCAAATAGAATATTAAAAATATTCAATAAATTGATGAGACAAGTTCTGCACACAAATTTCTTTATGTGGTATGAGTTTCAAATACATTAAAGAGTTCAATTTGGCTTTTTCCAAAAATAACTTTGGCGTATTTTGAGATTTCATAATTCTCTGCTTAGTCGAGTCCTCGAAAATAAATATTTAAAATACTATAATCTTTTGCAGGTTCAATCTTCAAACGATGATCATATTGTTGAAGAAGCATAATGCGGCAAACCTTTGTTTTTCGAAGGATAATTGAAGTAGGTTAATTTTGATACCATATATAGTATGGAGCGAGTGATGGATATCCAAAATTTTGGCATGTGTGCCTAGGGGCTTAACTGCCGAGTTGACTCCCATTCTTTTCTTTAATGATTAAA